AGGGTCTGCCTCCCCCCCCCTTCCCCAGCAGGCAGAGAGCATTTAATTACTAATTTACTAATTACCCAAAGATGCTGCCAATGGGCTCAAAACCTGTGGTCAGTAGCAGCCCCAAGGCTCCGGCTGCCCTAATCCCACCGGCCACGGGGATCCGGCGGATGCGTCCTGGCTGGGGGACAGCCCAGTTGGGGACACCAGGTGACCCAGAGAGACACCGTTCTCCCGGCAGCCTCGCTCCTGCTTGTGATGGCACGGGGTGGTGGGGAATGGGAGGGGACAGTGGGGACAAGGAGGGGATGGTGAGGACCAGGAGGAGACAATGGGGACCAAGGGGAGATTGTGGGGACAAGGAAGGGACAGTGGGGATCAGGAGCAGATGATGGGGACCAAGGAGAGATGGTGGGCAATAAGAAGGGACAACAAGGATCAGGATGGGATGGTGGGGACCAGGAGGAGACAACAGGGACCAAGCAGAGATGGTGGGGACCAAGAGGAGATGATGGGAATCAGAAGGAGACATTAGGGACTGAGAGGAGATGATGGGGACCAGAAGGGGATGACAGAGACCAGGAGGAGCCAATGGGGGCGAAGGGGAGATGACAGGGACCAGGAAGGAACAATGAGCTGAAGGTGGTGATGGGGACCAGGAGGAGATGTTGGAGACCAGGACGGAATGGTTGGGAAGGAGGAGGAGATGATGGGGACAATGATGGAATGATTTGGAACCAGGAGGGGATGAAGGGGACCAAGACAACGTGGTGGGGACCAGGAGAGGACAACAAGGATCAGAACAGGATGATAGGGAGCAGGAGGAGATGACGGGGACTGGGAGATGATGATGAGGATCAGGAGGGGACAGTGGGAACCTGGCTGTTTTGACCACGGCCAGGAGAGAATGATGGATGGTGGAGAGAAGGAGGTCACGGCAGGGACCAGGAGGGGATGGTGGCGACCAGGACAGGACAATAGGGACCACAGTGGGGATGATGGAGACCAGGAGGGTGTGACAGGGATCAGGAGAGGGCAGTGGGATGCAGTACAGGTGGATGGGGATTATGAGGGGATTGTGAGGACTAGGAGGGGATGATGGGGACCAGAAGGGGACAATGGTGACAAAGAGGGCCCAAGAGATCAAAGAGGAATGATGAGGACCAGGAGAAGATGATGGATCCCAGGAGCAGCTAGTGACGACCAGGAGAGGATGGTAGAGACCAGGAGGGGACATTAGGGACAGAAGCGAGTGGTGAGAACCAGAGGGTACATCAGGAAGGGGCAACGGGGGCCACGAGGGGATGGTCGGGATCAGGAGGGGACAAGAGCAACCAGAAGAAGATATGAAGGTTTGGAAGGGTACAAGATGGCTGTGACACTTGAGGTGGCTGGGAAGGGTTAACGCAGCCGTCCAGCGCTGAGCCCTGTCCAGGCCAGGCTCAGGTTTCAGCTGTAATTAGCTCTTGTTTATTGGAGGCTCCATGATAAATGATGCCCTGGAGGTTGCCCGATGACAGAGGGTGACAGCACCACACGTCACCCGCCCCAAGCTCTGCTAAAGCCTTCACTGACCCCCGGCACAAGGATTAAAGTTTAATGTGGCTCTGGAGCTGACCTCGGGCACGCATCGCCACCAGGACATGGGGCTGGGGACAGGCTGGTGGCCATCCCTTGGGACACCTTCAAGGCAAGAGGCGTTTTGGCACCAAGGTGTGTTCTGGCACCAGCCTCGTGGCCACTGGCTATTGGTGCATCATGGCCATGGGGCTGGTTCTTGACTCCTTTGGGGTCACCCAAGGGGTTCGTTGGTGAAATGTCACACCAAGTTGTGTTTGTCCCCCCTGGGACTGGCCCCACCGGATGGCTCAGTGCCACGGTGGGGCCGGTTGGTGTGGTCTGGGCACATTCCCGGGCGGTGTGCAGGTGCCAAGAGCCACCACAGGCTATCCACCGGGGCGGGTTGAGGTCCTGCCCCACGGCCACCTTCGGAGCAGCAGCTGCTTGGGGACCACGGTGGACAGAAGGGATCTCGGAGGCGTCCCCAAGGCGAGGGAGCTGGGCATGGCACAAACCCCAGGGCTGGCACAGTGCCCGGGGCCACGGCTTGGGTTTTGGCAGGCCAACGTGGCACCACAATCATTTGGGGACAGAGAGGTCCCCAAAGTGGAGCTGGGCATGACCCCATCTCCTCATCTCTCTGGACATCATGTTTTCTCCTTGCAGATGAACCTCCTCGCCCAGGTAATGGGACAGCTGGTGGGGAGGGCACCCGCACGCGGGTGGTCCCACCCCTCTGCTGTGGCACCCGGCGCCTACGGAACGCGTGGCTGGGACCTGCCTGGTGCTAAGTCTGGTGGAGCGATGGGAGGGGGGTTGTCCTGGGAGGCTGCTGTGGGTTGGGGACGGGTGGTAGCAGGGGTGGG